TTTCTGCCCTACCACCACTGTTGCCAGGAAGCTTTTGTAAGAGAGTATCTGAATTGTATCAGCCTTCATCGCTGATATTTTAGTTGACTCAAAACCGGCCTTAATTGCCTTAGGACTACTTGGTTCGATTAAGAATGTCGGAGGTGGTAGAAACAAAAGATATGGTACAGTTGGAGGATGCAGAATTGTTAGATCTCAAGCCAGGGAATTGCAGAACATTCAGGCAGCATATAGGCTGAATGGAAAAAACTATCTTAAGTGGTCCCAACTTGTCCGGACTGTGCTGAAAGGGAAAGGAAAAATCAGTCACATTTTAGGGACATGGCCAAAACCGGAAGATCCACGATTTGAAGCTTGGGATGAGGAGGATTCGATGATCATGGCATGACTATGGAACTCCATGACTCCAGAGATTAGCGACACATGTATGTCCTTAGCTACTTCCAAGGATGTATGGGATGCAATTCAAGAAACGTACTCCAAGGCAAAGGATGCTGCCAAAGCCTACGAAGTCAAAGTTAAGACGATTGCTGCAAAACAAGGAGATAGGACTGTCACTGAATATACCAATCAAATGAAGGCTTTATGACAAGAACTTGATCATTATAGGGTAATTAAGACCAAATGTCCTGATGATGCAGCAATTTTGAAGGAGTTTATTGAACAAGATAGAGTTTATGATTTTCTGGTTGGACTCAATTCAGAATTTGATTTAGTTAGAATTTAGATTCTTGGCAAACAGGAAGTTCCAAGTTTCAATGAAGTGCTTGCACTCATCCGAGGAGAAGAAAGTAGAAGAGAATTGATGTTTGAACCAAAGGGAACTGACAGTTCGGCTTTAGTTGCTAGTAACAGCAATAAAATAGCCACAAATTCAGAAAAAATGCCCACGGTCGAGAATGGAAGGACCAGCCAGCCAAAGACTCAAAAGCGTGACCACAAAGACACTCTATTGTGTACCTACTGCAAGAAGGCACGTCATACTTGTGAGTGGTGTTGGAAATTGCATGGAAAACCACCTAACCGCGAGTGGGGACAAAAAAGAGAGCAACCAAGGAACAATGGACGAGCCCAGATTGTAACAGTGCAACCGCATGAAGGGATATCACAAGAGATGGGAAATCTCAGCCAAGAACGAATTGAGAGGGTGAGATCACTTATTGGCAATCTTGAAAAACCATCAGGTACTTGTTCAATGTCGTATTTAGGTAAAATTTCCTTCTCCATTGGATTAAATGTCTTGAATATAGTCTTTACCAACTCTTGGATTATTGACTCAAGAGCTACCGACTATATGATCCATTCCTCAAAGTTTTTCCTCATATACCTCGTGTCTAAGTAATAGGAAAATAATCACAGCCGATAGATCATTATCTACTGTGGCAGACATAGGTGATGTCAAGATAAGCCCGTCATTATTGTTAAAAAATGTTCTTCACATTCCTAGGCTAACCACAAATCTTGTTTCCATCCAAAAGCTCACTATAAATCTGCATTGTAAAGTAGTTTTTAATCAGAGTTACTGTGTATTTTAGGACAAAGATTTGGAGAGGACGATTGGACATGCTAGAGAACGAGATGGACTCTACTATCTTGAAACATTAAATCATTTACCAAGTCAATCCAACACTACCAAGGGCATAACATCTCATTTTCCTGTCTCACAATCTTTTTCATCTAATAAAGAACAAGTCTGGATTCGTCATCGCAGACTTGGACCTCCATCATTTAGGATTATTAAACTTTTATTTTCTTCTTTATTTAAGGGTGTAGAAGTTGAACATTTTTATTGTGAAGTGTGCGAACTTGCTAAACACAAACATGTATCTTTTACAATTAGTAATAAAAGGAGTTCTATTCATTTTGATCTCATTCACAGTGATATTTGGGGTCCTTCAACTATTTCTAATGTAAATGGAGCTAAATGGTTTGTCGTTCATTGATTATTGTACTCGAGTCATCTGGATTTTTTTACTTAAAAAGAAATTCGATGTTAGTATTGTTCTTCAAAAATTTTGTTCTATGATAAAGACTCAATTTGGGGTCAATATAAAAAGATTTAGGTCAGATAATGCGAAAAACTATTTCAGTCAAGCCCTAACTACATACTTTCAGAAAGCATGAATAGTACATGAGTCCTCTTATGTGGGCACTCCACAACAAAATGTAGTAGTAGAGCGAAAAAATGGTCATCTCCTCGATTTAACAAAATCCTACCTGTTTCAGAAAAATGTACCTAAATCTTTTTGGGAAGAAACGGTTCTTACAGCTGCCCATATCATAAATCGCTTGCCTTCTAGAGTCATAGGATTTAAAAGTCCAATGGATGCCCTTTCCAAATTCTATCCAAACCTACATACCACAAATAGTCTTGTTCCTCGTATATTTGGGTGTGTGGCATTTGTTCATGTTCATAATTAGAACCGGGGAGAATTAGATCCAAGGGCATTAAAATGCGTGTTTGTGGGATATTCTTCAACTCAAAAGGAATATAAGTGCTATCACTCTCCATCAAAAAGGTTCAATGTCTCAGTTGATGTGACATTCCATGAACTAGAATCCTATTTCATTGTTCCTTATCTTCAGGAGGGGATTCAGTAACGGAAGATAAGGATAAGGCAGATTTTTTGCCTCTTGATCTGGCATCGTCACCACTTCCTGTGTTAAGACAGTCTAGTCCCATGGGTGTTTCTACCGAGCTTCCTGAAAATGTTCCTCTCATTGAGCCCACTGACAATACAAATCCGACCATTGATAGTGTGAGATTTGGCAAAGGCAAAGTGTTCTCGAGGAGGAAGAAGGTTGTTCGTGAATTTGTGCAAGTCCAAGACTTCAACCTAAATCTTGAGAATGAGGTAGCAGTTTCTAATCCTTTTTCTCAGTCTGTATATGAGATAAATAATAATGACCAAGACCTCCCTATTGTTATCAGGAAAGGAGTTGGAGAATGTATAAACCGACCTCTATATCCTCTTGCACATTTCCTGTCCTTTAAACATTTTTCACCATCTCATAGAGCCTTCTTTGTCAACTTAAACACCATCTCCATCCCTACGAATGTATCCGAGACTTTAACCGATGAAAAATGGAAGCAAGCCATGAATGTTGAGATGGAGGCATTGGAGAAGAACAAAACTTGGAAGTTAGTGAAGTTACCTGAAGGAAAGAAACCTGTAGGGTGTAAATGGATTTACAAAGTAAAATATAGAGCAGATGGGTCAATAGAAGGATACAAGGCTAGGTTGGTGGTTAAGGGTTATACTCAAATCTATGGGATTGATTATCAAGAGACGTTTGCTCTAGTTGCAAAGATGAACACTGTTAGAGTTTTATTGTCACTAGTAGCTAATGGTGATGGAGATTTGCAACAGTTTGATGTTAATAATGCATTTTTGCATGGAGAACAGGAGGAGGAAATTTATATGGAAGTTCCACCAAGTTATAATAAAGGGTTGACTGCTAGTACAATATGTAGACTAAAAAAGTCCTTGTATGGACTGAAACAATCACCACGAGCATGGTTTGGAAGGTCTGCTAGAGTAATGACAGCTATGGGATATAGGCAGAGTCAAGGGGATCACACTTTGTTCATTAAACACTCATTTGCAGGTAAAGTTACAGCTCTATTGGTGTATATTGATGACATAATTGTGACCGATGATGATGATAGGGAGAGACAACTTCTAAGTCAATGTTTAGCTAAAGAATTTGAGATCAAGACATTAGGAAGATTGAAGTATTTCCTTGGAATTGAAGTGGATCATTCTAAGCGAATGCATTTTTATCTCTCAACAGAAGTATATTACAGATCTACTCAAAGAAACCAGCAAGACAGAATGCAAACCAGTGAGTACTCCAATAGAACCGAATCTCAAGCTTGGGGAGGCAGAAGAAGATGCTATGGTGGATAGAGAGATGTATCAACGGTTGGTGGGGAAGCTCATTTATCTTTCTCACATTCGGCCAGCCAGACATGGCGTATGCAGTGAGTGTGATCAGTCAGTTCATGCACAATCCAAAGGAAGTCCACCTGCAGGTGGCATATAGAGTTTTGCAATATCTCAAAGGGAGACCAGGTAGAAGCATCCTTTTCAAGAGGAATGGAGGGTTAGTCTTTGAGGCATACACAGATGTTGACTATGTTGGGTCAGTCGTTGACAGAAGTTCAACTTTAGGTTATTGCACCTTCTTTGGTGGAAATCTGATGACATGAAGGAGTAAGAAACAGAATGTGGTAGCACGGTCTAGTGCTGAGGCAGAATATCGAGCAATGACTTAGGGAGTGTGTGAACTATTATAGTTGAAGATAGTTCTAGAGGATCTGAAGATTATGTGGGATGGCCCTATGAAACTTCATTGTGATAACTAATCTGCAATCAACATAGCTCACAATTCAGTGTAGCATGATCGAACAAAACACATCGAGATTGACAGACACTTTATTAAAGAAAAGTTGGATAGTGGACTGATTTGTACACCTTATATATCTACACATGGCCAACTTGTTGATATACTCGCCAAGGGGTTAAGTAGTTCAGTGTTTGAGAGTTTTGTATCCAAGCTGGAAATGGTGAATACCTTCATTCACTAGCTTGAGGGGGAGTGTGGAAGAATGTATTTTACACATGTATAGATTAAATTAGGAAAGTCTGAATATAATAGTTAGTCTTCCTAGAATTAGGTTGATTTGATCAGTTCCTTTTTTTGTGGTGTCATATCCCCCAAATTATGGGATGGGAATATCCCACAGATTATGGGATGTGATTCCATTTCTAAAGGCTAGAGGTTCTGTATATAAACTAATTGTAATTGTAATACAAAATATAATTTTTCCTCTCAAACTAGTTGCATGTATATGATTTGCCCAAACAATTTAGCTTTTCAAATATTTCTCTAGTTCAAAGGACTCTGTTTTCTTTTTTTATGTAATTAGCAGATTTTGTTATGATTGTTCATTCTCTCAGCATGTGTTAGGATAGGGATGGTTAGGTTTCTTTTCACTCCTCTTGACCTAAAATGTAATGGAAGAAACAAACGAAAAAAGCTGGATTTCAATATTTTTTTCAATTGAATTTGCTTTCTTCATTGAGACAAATGCTTAACCTGGCCTATTTTTCTTGGGTCACAGTTAAGTGAACAGGAGAACCTTATTGTCTGGATGCGGACAGCTGCACTGCCAACTTTCAGAAAGTTGTATGGGAAGATAGAGGTGGATCTGAATGAGGGTGAAACCATCCAAGTTACATTGCAGAACAATTACAATACTTACAGCTTTAATGGCAAGAAGAAACTTGTGCTTTCAACTACTAGCTGGCTTGGAGGGAAGAATGACTTCCTTGGCATTGCTTATCTTACTGTTGGTGGGATCTGCTTCTTCTTGTCCTTGACCTTCTTCGTTATGTATCTCGTCAAGCCAAGGTAAGCTTCTTAAGAAACCCAAAATAATCTATATGCTGAGCTTTCTAACACTAGGGCTGTCTTAGAAACTTCCTCTTGCAATTGAGTACTGTTTTAAATTCCAAGAAATTCAAGAAGAGACTGAGGTTTCTTTAAGCATAAAAAGAAACCTGAAACGAAAATTTTGAATAATATCAAAAGTATTATAAAATTAAAGTATTACTTGTGAGTGAAATGATAATTAAACCAAACTAGATATACAATGATTAGCAGAAAAATTGGCGTTGCTTAGAAAAATGACGCACTTTGAAAGAGGTACTTACTTTTTTCTATTTTGAGATGAGATACTTAATTTTTTATGCTCAAAATTGCATACAAGCACCTTATGAGCAATTTGCTTATGGATTAGTAAACAAATATAGCTAAGTATGATGGTTATAAATTGCTTTTAAGCAAAGTGGAAGATTCTCTTAACAGTACCCTTTGGTATCTCTTATTTACCAGGATTAAATACCACGAAAGTGTTCAGTGCTAGCCAAATAGCACAAAAGTTTTCAGTTTTATCTTTGAAGCTAGAAGGAGATTAGAATAGAACAAAATAACGAATCATTACAAATTTTTCCTTATTTTGCTGGGATTTATTTGCTTCAAATTCTCTTTAAAACTCCGGATTTTAAAATGCCAAAGTTGTCCCCACATAATTTTTAATTTCTAAATTGTCCTTTACCTTATATTAAAGCGACATTTGAATGCTTTTTTATTTTTTATTTTTTATATACTTTTATTCTTTTCCAGGTTTTATGTATACTCGTAATGTATGTGGTGTATAAACTGTATGACAATGTAGAAACTCACATGCTTGATATAAGTCTTCTTCACAGTATTTTATTACTGTACTATATTTGATAAATCTGCTTAGTATTTATAGTTATGGATTAAAATAGTTTCTCATTTAAATTTATAGAAACTAGAAACACAAGAGGAACACAACAAATAATTGTTGCTAGACAAAAACCAAGTTATTTTTTGGTATATATATTGTTAATTGATTTAGTTAAAAATATTACTGTTATCAGTCTTTTGGCGTCAAACGCTCCAATATGAGCCAAGGGTCTATTTGGAACTTGGAAGGATTGAAAAAAAGTGGAAAAAGAATCAAGGGATTCTCCATTCCTTCCTTTACATATCATATCCTCTTTGCCAGAAGACGATATAGGATTTGATCCCCTCTTTGTGGCGACATATATAAAAAAGATCTGGCAACTAATCTCAGAATCTTTTTGGTTTCAGGCGACTTGGAGATCCTTCTTACTTGTCATGGAACAGAAATCCTGGAGGCCGCTAACAAGCTTATGCATTGAGTATCTCACAGATTAGTTGTCTTGAAATGCTCTTATTTCACCCCCCTCCATTGTTAATATGAAATTGGTTGTTGCATGCTCCAAAGTGTAGTGTTTGTTTGAAATATGTATTTTTGGTGAACTTGACATCAGGAAATTTGATTTATAATTTAACAAATAGTTGCACCCAAACAGTTTTCATCTAGTAGCTGCATTCTGTAAAATGTTAATGACAAGGATGTCTATAACACTCTGAGAAGAATATTGGAGAGGTATGCTCCTTCTGGGTATGATGGGTCAACAGGATGATCACAAGCTGCTCCTGTTTGTCGCAGGATTGTGACTTTCCGACCAGCCATTGCTGCAGCACTCTGGAAAATAGACATTCAGAGGGTTACTTTTAAAGATGCTTAAAAAGACTATGATCTACTCCGGAGTGTTCATAGATTATCTGAAAAAAATCCTTATTTTGAACGGTGAAGTGTTCACTTTTAAGAGGGGGAAGCAATTAACGGTTATATAAGTTTTACAAATATCACTCAATATATATAACATTCACTAAAGAGGGAAAATAATTTCACTAAAAAAAAGAGTTAAAGCGAACAACACCACTAAACAAGGGCTAAGTTGCAAATATAGCTAGATAGGTACTAACCACTAAACACAGATTTTGGCTATCAAATTGATATTTAGTAAATATCAAGAAATTACTTGGGGCAGCAAAAAAGAAAATCAAAGAAATAACTTACCTGGAGATTACCCAAGAACATCCCACTCTGTGTCATAGCTCCTGAACAAGAGCAAGTCATGAGGAGACCTCCTCTTTTCACCAATTGCATAGCTAATGAGTTTAAATTCCTGTACATGCCTGATGCATTTTTCAGAACCTGGAAATAGACAAGCCAAATTAGTCGCAGTAAGACCACAAAAAAGTTCAAGGGGAAGCAGCCATCCACACATGAAATAGTTTCAATCCAAAACATGCAAATGTCAAACCAAACAGCTACAATGTTCTAGATGCACAAAAATATGTTTTCTCGTATATGTATAACATGGATTACGGAATGAAACTCAGAGAGCATAATTAAATCACGAAATAAGTACAAAATGTATAAACTTTGCTCTTTTATTCCTCTAGCTGCCATTTAAAAAATCCTTCTCCCTACCAAAGAGGGAAAATGAATTGTGGATATTAGCATTGTCTTTGATACTTCAGATTATCCAGTGAAAATTATCACCTTACTGCAAAGAGTTATGAATTGTAAAATATGGTGAAGCATATGTATGATCAGATAATAATTGACATCGGGTGATATCAAGCTTGGCATATCTATCATTCTTATCAGAGTGCTGACTAATTTATGACAGAGAAAAGACAATAAAACTGGGAAAAGGATGAAACAAATTATCATCCTTATCATAAGATTTCGAGGCCAGAGAGTAACAAAGGCGAGATAACATGCTCTGTTTTTTGAGGACCAAGGGGCCATATCCCAAGAGGTGAAGTAAATGATGCAATAGCTGATTTCATCAGGCAATGTTACTTAAATTTAGATGAAATGAATCTCTAAGCAGGTAAGTACTGAATGGCTGAATATCAATCAATGACATTTAAAATCTATTCTCCATTCTCCTTTTCCTGACAGAGAAAGATTTGAGTAACAAGTTATGTGATCTCCATCCTACTTCTGGAGAACAGTGAGATGAAGAACTTCACAGAAAACATCCAAAATCACATGACATTTAACCATGCTATGTTTGGGGGATGCGACGTATGTAAAGTTGCCTTCCCTCCCGCAAAATTTTTACCTTTTTCCTTGGTGCTAACTTTGGAGGATCCAAAATTATAATATCCCAAATCTCATTGCTTGAAAGAGCACTCTTCATAAACTCAATTGCGTCCTCTCTCATAAATGATATTTTTTTCTGATCCATATTGTTAAGAACAATATTTTCTCTGGCAAGCTCCAAAGCAGCCAATGATGAATCAACACCTACAGGATATGTGGATGATTTAAATGGATTAGTATGAAACATCTGTCTAATTTTTGCACAATAAACTTCATAATACTTCATAATGAGAGTGAGGGGAATTGAATGAACACCCTCTTGGGGCCTTTTTTTAATGGAATTTTCTTCATTGAAAAGAAAGAAAAGTAACATTAAGATTAAATGTAACTTTAACTGAAGCCTTCTTCATTTTTAATGCAAAACCAGCTTTCTAATACTACAAGTTATAAATTCAAGAGCAAGTTTTACTTAAAATGTTCATAAACTTTCTACACAAGCTAAAACATTAATATCGAATTTCGGACAGTTAAATTAGAAGTAGTAAACTCTGCTTTAAAATATACCTAATAAAAAATAGACCTCAATGCTTTGAGAAGATCCATATACACCATTCAATAATTCATGTTAAAGAAAAACGTGTATAAATATGGACCAGGAAGTGCCTTTCTTCAATAAATAATTCTTTTGTAGAAGAAAAATATCCCAAACTACATATTGTTATGCTGTTCAGACAAAAAACTTTTGAAACCACGTGAACATTTAGTTGTGCTTCGCCAAGAATTTCCATTAACTCCACAAATAAAATGGAGAAATTAATCCTTTCTTTTTTTTTTTGGGTGAGGGAGGCAATTGAGAAAACAATTAGTTATTTCAATTTCTATCCAAGGCATGCTTTTAATTGAAGAAGACAACAATAATATATCTGAATTAGATACTTCCAGGCTTACGTAAAGAGAAATAAGGCTTCAAAGAATATAGCATCAGATAGATAAACTATGGGCTTTTGGTAAACAAAGGGAAAAAAAAGAAAAAGAACAGTTCGACTATACCAATGACATTCATAGCACCTCCTCGAACTGCATTTAGAGCAAAACCACCACTATAGCAGCAAACATCAAGAACTCTCTGACCATTTGAAATTGTTGATATAAAATGACGGTTTTCACGCTGGTCAGCATAAAATCCTGTCTTCTGACCATCTAATGAGATTGCATAAGAAATCCCATTTTCCATAACCTGGTATGCAGATGTTACATGATGGAATAAGACAATCTTACCAGATGTTTCAAGAAGCCATTTTTCAAGAGCTGTACATAGATCAACTTAAGCCAAACAAATTTAGTCGCAGAAGCTGTCAAGGACCTAAAAGGTATGAAGATAACATCCTTTGCTAAGGTGTATAAAAGAAAGAGAAAAAGCTACAGTCAATAATTAGTAAAGTTTGATTAGGAAGATAATTGTCTTTCTAATTTTCTGTCAATTATTCTTATGGCAGTGTATAGTGTAAATGTATTAGGGTGTGACTGCTAAAAGTATAAAAATAAGATAAGAAGAGGTCACTCCTAAATTCCGAGAAACCAGAATAACTACTCTTCCTTCTATTCTAACAAACTTTGTTATTGTTTCTCTGGACACATTATGTATAAAAATTATCAAAATATAGTATTTTCTTATTCAAGAGATCATTGGATTTTCTATTGAGGATCCCACAAATTAGAGTAAAAAACATCCCAAATTTCCTACTGATTTCCATGTAAACATCCCATTACTAGATCCATCAATGGAGACTCTACCAGAAGCACTTTTTCGTTTAGGTCCAATAAATTCTATTTATTTTCATTCATAAATCTGGAACGATTTTTTTGTAAGAAGAATCTTGATATAAGAAGACATTAGACAACTGAAAGATCAAAATATACAATATTATAAATGATATGCAATTGGAATATCAAATTCTCTATTCTCTTTATCGAGTGAAATCACACCTAAACTTCTAGGATAAATTTCACTGGTCGTTAGTCGGGTTACTGACAATTAGGCAATATTAGCAACGCATCAAGGGATAAATTACTTTTTCTGAAGCTCTGAAGTAAGAGGAACAAGAAAGGACTTTTGAGGGCTAATAACAGATTAAGGGTAAGAACATATTTATCACTTTACCTCCCCACAAGTTGTGTGGGTAACGTACAGAGACAGCAATGGAGAAAACAATATCAATGGTGGATGGCTTGAGATATACAATAAGTTTCGCGTAATCAATACCAGGCTGTTGGCAAAACCCTTTAGAAAGCTATCAACCTTCAAAATGCTTCAGATAACAATCATCCTTCTGTTTAACCTCGTATACCCGACAACATCCAACCATATTAGCTCCAGGTGGTGGTGGAACAAGCTGCCAAGTGTTATTGGCAAGAAGGGCATCAAACTCGCTTGCCATGGGTTGCCTCCATTTTGAGAGGATTTAACGAAAGGTTGCAAACATGATCTACGCTCAAATGGCAAATCACAGGAGGGGGCAATTGGGATTGATAAAATTGTCCTTGACTTTTGGCTTAAAATGATCTATGGGGCTTCTAGCGAGCATGGGATGAGGATTAATTATAGGAGGAGAAAGAAGGAAAAGTGACCATAGAGGCTGATGGAAGTTGAGTGGTAAGTTTTGTACTCTGGCAAAAGTAGGTGATGATAGGTTTTGGTTGAGATGGAGGTGTAAAAGGTATAAAGAACTAGAATTAGAGGACACAACTTGCAGTGCTGGACTTTTTTAGTAGATAAATAGAAATGGCAGATAGCCTTGACAATTGAAGATGTCATGGAAGTAAAAGGTGAATCAAGGATAGTAGCCAGTGGTGAAGGAAAGAGAGCAAGCAAGTCCTTAGATAAAACAGATGTTTACAGAAAACCAAATATCGAGAAACAATAACCTTTTGAGTAGCAACAATAGAATAATGATAGCTTTTATGATTGTCCGAGTATTCAATAAGGTATATTTAGTAGATATATAACTCAATTCCTCAGTAGTATGATAGGATAAAGTTGGGTAACAAATACAATCAAACAGTTGCAGATAATCATAAGTAGGTTTCTTGTTGTAGAAAAGCTCGAATGGAATCAAATTCTAAATTGAGGAGGGAGTCCTGTAAATGACATGGACAGCAGTCCTGTGAGCTTCTATCCAAAAAATTGGATCGCATAGAAGCTTGAAGAAGTAGCGAGCGGACTGTATTGATGATGGTTCAATGCATATGTTCAACCAAACCATTTCGTCATTGAGTAAAAGGAAAAAGAAATCTCATATGCGCGTCATTGTTGGGAACAAAAGTCTCAAACTTAAATGTTGACAAATTCATTACTGCCATTACATTGAAATTGCTTAATTTCGCAACCAAAATGAGTGAACAAAAAACTAAAAAGAATTGACAAAGATGTCATAAAACTGAGATTTACTTTGCATAGGAAAGACCTATAAAAAGTGAGAACATTCATTGAGAAAGAGAACAACATAGTATTGATAACCAGAGAAGGGAAGAGAGGGAATGTTTAAACATCAGAACATCTAACGGAAAACAATTCATCAACATGAATTGAGGACAAGGAAAAAGAAAGCCTAGTGCTTTTTCATATCAATCAAGATTCACAATTAAAGGAATTAATTTTAGACATTAGAGGAGGGTTAACAAGACTCTCTTTGTCATTCTAGATAGTATAAAAGATCTATAATGTCCTATACCAAAGTTCAAGAGATGGTCAGACAGCAACGCGAGTTGGACAAATGAAAGAGGGAGCAACCAAAGCTGTAGGTGAAAAAGAGTATAAATCACCTTGTCAATTGCATATGGGAATTGGGGTCAGCGTCCTGAGGTCCTTGACACAAAAACGAAAAGAACCAAACACAATTTGAACAAGAGTTATCTTTCATAAAACTATTTACCGAGATGAGATTAGCAAAAAGAGAGGGCACCACAAAAACATTGTTAATGCTAAATGTTTTATCAAAACAATTTAGAAAAGAAGAACAATATGAGAAACGCGGTCGATAGAACTATCTCCAAATGTCACTTGAGATTTATTTGTGGGAAAGATTGAAAAATACCTAGTCTGGCAATTATATGAGTATCACCCTAGTATCAAGAAGCCAAGATGTCTCATGGAGATCTGTGAGTTGAAGGGCAACAAACAAAAATTGAATAGAATCAATTCTCTTCAGCTTAAAGACATGGATACCTGCCTGAACAGTGGAGAACATCTTCTGGAAGTGTGATTTTGTAGCCCAAACAAAAATTGAACTTAAGGGCATTGGAGCGGCAGGTTAAGGACTGTGCTTTAAAGAAGATACTAAGAATTCCAGAAGTTGAGTTCAACCATGGTCATGCAATTGACCATAGCTCCCTTGAATTTGAGGAAGACAACAAATGTCCTAGTTGAGAGAAGTGATTAATGAAAGTTTGAGACAGTGAGAGCAGTCACACAACAAAAGCAGAGGAACTGTGGCTGAAGAGGGAGCCTTTTGACGTTCCACGCATCAGACTTCCTAGAGGTACAAACCAATTCGAAGTTTGACAACAACAATGATATCTGAGAACTCAGACCAATAACAACATTCTCGTAGTCAAGGGGAAGGCCTCCAAGACTTGAAGCAGCAGATCATCCTCAGAAAGATCATGCCGATCGAGACAGGATCAAATTTCTTCAATCTATGGAGGTAATCATTAATGAAGAGGTCAGATATGGAAGTACTGTAGAATTGCGACTTGAGTTGAAGGGTCAAGCATGAGCATTTTTCTGGAACAATTTGTTCGATGCCAACGCAGACTTCTCAAGTAGTGAGAGAAATGTTGGGTTTGAAATGACTTCTTAAGATACCAAAAAAGACAGTGGCCTAAATCCAATAGAGAATGAGAGAGTCGAACTATTTCCAAAGGACATCGTCTAGGTTTGGGACCTACTTTGTGGTAATCCATGACTAACTTTGCACAACAGGAACCAAGCCCATCAATAACACTGTGGGTTGAAAGACTAGATGAGAAAGAGATCTCTAGAATAGGTAATCATGAAATTAAGTTGCTCATAAACATAATTCTTGATGTTTGAAACTCCAAGAAATGGAATGTGAAAATTGAAGGAAGAAGAAGAGGATGAATCAGCTAAAGAGAAGAGGAAGAAAGACTCATCATTGTAATAAGAAAGGAAGAAAAGATTTAGTTCTTTTCATGGATAGTCGGCTATTATACCAAAAACGGGTGAGGAAAAATATTGTTGGGAGATTCTTATTGATTATGCTAGTGTGTTATTTATAGCTTACAAAAGATTAAGTTGTAGAAACCTAGTTATAAGAAAATAAAAGATTACTTTATACATAGACTATATAACAATTTAATAGCAAATTGTATGAAAGAGTATATTTATCCCTTTAGGAATAAGATGTAATCAAGCAGAAAATTGTCGTCAAAAGTGTGAGTTTCCTTTTTTAAGTTGTCAAACCTTTGTGATAGAGCATTAGCAAGCAAATAGCTGTTATTTCTATGCTTGCAACTTTGTGTTTGGGTCATAAAGAATAATATTAATGCTGATAAAGGAATAAATTTTTAAGAGAGAATTAGAAGATGGTAAGGTAATGGGAGGTGAAACAGCAACTTCAAGCAATTTCATTAATGTGGAGAGAAGGACTTGCATAAGAAAAGTGATAATATCTGCAACCATTAAATCTTTCGAGGACTCTGATACCTTTGTTCTCTCTGGACAAGTTGATGGAAGCATTTCTTTAAAATTAGACACATCAATTCCTTCTTCTTTCAAAATGTCAAATGAAGGTCTCCATTTTACATGATTAATGTCATTAATTTTTCTAATGCAAGCCTCTACTTCTGGTCTATACTTCTCAACCCAAGCAGCGGAAGATGCTATTACTGCTATATCTCCAAAGACATCAACAATTAGTCCTGACAATCTGCAGCAAGGAATGATTTGACATAAATAAACTTTCTTATCCAGATTCACCTCAAAGGATGTGATCATAAACAACTATTCTGAAAGAAAATTACAGTATAAATCTAGCAAATGCACATTTTCTTCCTTCTTACACCCTCCCCTATATATTTCCTTTTTGAAAACGAAAAAGTAACAAATATTTTACGACATATGAATAGTATGATAAACTAGATGCAGGAACCAAATGACAGTATACATACTGCAAATATTACCAGCACAATCAATCAAGATATTGTAATTTACCTAGAAATTATAAGCAACAATCTCAAAGTTGGCTTGTCCAGGATTCCTATTTACATTACAAATTTTAAATTAGCTCTTGTTGTGCATCCAACTCAAACTAAGGTTGGGATTGCTGAGCATAAAATCTGCTCGTATTTTGTAATCAAGTAACTTTGTTAAAGAGGAAAAAAATAAGAAGTAATGTGGAATTTCCACAAGGAGAAAGCCTGGAGTTTGGTCTCTTTGAGACTTGTACGAACATATAAACAAATAACACGTGACGTACATCACATGATCAAATCAACTACTCACTACATATAGATAAAGAATATGGTGAACATGTCATGGGCTCAAGTGGTGGTCGGCAAAAGTCAAAGATCTTAGACTAGAAGCTCATGTACAAGAATCAAAAGGAACAAAGAGAGTAGTTTCCCAATAATTAGATGAAAATAATGATAATGTGAACACAAGACTCAGTGTCCAAATGACTTACCTGTCTCCTTCACTATTTACAAGCCGATAAGCATTTGTATATGCTGAGGGAAGTCCCAGACTCTTGCGCAGTTCTCTAGCTGCATCAATTCTTTTTTCAATAAGTTTCTGTATGTTCAAAGCACAAGAAGGATCTCTGCAAAATGAACTGACAATGAGCTCAGTAGCCTTATGAGAGAGAGACAAGAGAGGTATGAAGCACTTTTTAGAATCTAGAACATACTTCAGCGCTTCCTCTTCTAACTGCATCAGCCGAACAGAGAACATAGAAACAGAATTATACAAGCCCCACCCAATTGGTTTCTCTGTTCCATCAGCCACCAGCACGACATCTCCAGTCTTAGGTGGTGGCCTACTAATTATTCTGTCAACTGCTCCACTGTACACCATTGGGCTTCCATCCTTAAAGAGTTGTGTTTTACCCTTTTTCAATACAACCTTGGCAATACCTACCAACCAAACCAATCACAAGAAGGTATAAAAGTTAGGGATGAGTTTTGGGTACTAATTTGCTTAAGCTATTTGAAGTATTATTTAAGGATAAATGGGAATTTATAGCCAATTTTATTTTAGGTGCTTAGAATTTCCAGTAGGAACACAATTTCTTCATCTCTTCCAAAAGCAATTAAGGAAGCAACTGAAAAAGATTATAGACAGTGTCACAACCTAATACATAATGGCAGTTCTTTCAGTAGCTTGCAATATCAGCTGCAGTTCCAAACAAACTCTCAGCTAAATGTGATGGATAAGTGAAGTTCAACATTGATAAGCACATTAAATAGCAAAGAGAATGTTTACACTTGAAATATGCTTTTGTTATTGTTCCCATTGATTGATATAGCCACTCAAGCAATTTTCAATTTTCAAATTCTAATTGAAAATCATCATGGCTTCAATTCTACTTCACAATATACCTTATGAAGATAAATTCACAGGCCAATCATCTTTAAAGCAGGTACCATAACAAGGCAACTTTTCAAGTAGAGTTGTCTTTGGAACAAATAAATTCTACAAAAATTATAAGTGATTTGTAATCTTAACTTGTATGCTTAACAGTTGTTGCAAACATGAAAATTCAATTCCAAATAAATTCTAAGTAGGATCAACAAAATACATTTTAAATTCACAGTGAAAAATAACTATATACTTCAAATTTAAATGAAACTACTAAAATACCACAATACTAGAAGTACGCTAAAAATACATTAAATTTCATCAAATACTTTATCCAAATAATTTCCTTGGAACTGAAATGAATTGCATTGTTCATTTATTCCAAACATGATATGACATCCGGTTTCAATCCAATGTATTCCATTAGCATTCGGATAAAAATTATATGTCATTAGAGAGTAAATTCAACAATATATCGAGGATTCATGTATTCTCTCTCAAATTGAATCCAATAAACTATCAAAACAACACCTCTCAGGTCACTAGGAAAACTACTTAACACATTTCGCATTATCGGACCGCAAAATTTCGGACAAAAAGTACACTTAAATTGTATGCTTAAAAAGGAAAAAAGCATCGGTTGCACACGTCTATATGGGCAAAGACAGAAAGGACACGTGAAACATGATAGTATGAAGACAGCCCAATGTTCAAACGACCTGATATGTATAGATATGAGGGAGAGAAACAAAAACCTTTATGGTGAGAGGAAGCAATTTCATGGAGGGTGGTAGCAGAAAGAGAAACAGACTTTACGAGGCGAAGTGGAAGTTGCTGCATCATTATCTTCATATTAGACGTAAATGCAAGCACATACCTCAACAGCACGCATTTGCTCTTCCTTGCTCGAAAGAGAGAAGAGACGCGCGAGCGATTCTCGTGGACGAAAAGTTGCAGACCCTGTAGGATTGAACTGGGAGCTGAGAGACTTGGACAGCTCGTTTATATGTCGGGTCGGGTCGGATTGCTCCGTTAACCCATCGCCCGGCCCATTGGATCTATTATTTACCTGGGTAAATTTTATTTTTTTTAAAAAATTATATATTTAGATCTAAGTTTATATTTTGTCTCATTCCTCTTTTTGTTTTTTCTCTGGTTTTCGGTTTTTATGTAATAACAATATAGTAGGTGCATTGTGGGGGTAGAGAAGTCGGATTTCTCAATGAATGTTCATGCAGAAGAGATAAGAAAACTTACTTGGTTATCTAGCAAGATGAAAAGCATTATACGAAATGATTCATACACGATGGAAATGTAAAGTTTGGAAGAAGGAACAAATATGGTCCAAAAAAACATATTTCTCTTCCAATTTGGAAATTAATGGATCTTATGTAAGAAAATAATGTAGCACCCGGAAAGGAGGAGGAAAAAAAAAAAAAAAAAAAAAAAAAAAAAAAAAAAAAAAAAAAGGGGGGGGGGGCCACGTCAGCAGCCACGTCAGCAGGCCCGGTCAGTAGTCCCGGCCAACCGGGGCCTGCCACGTGGCAAGATCGCGTCACTCCGAAAGGAGCCACGTTGGCGATCCGCGTGGGTGCGATCCGACGGCCCAAATCAATCACGCGATCGGACGGCCCAAATTCAAACGCACGGACGGCCCAAATTCAATCAAAAACGAACGGCCCAAATTAAAACGAAACGAACGGCTGTGATCAAAAGGCAAGGGGTTATAAATAAAACCCCCACACCAAACCAAAAACCCTAGCCGCCAGCCGCTCGCCGGAGAAGACGAACCAGAGGCCGACCGCCGCCACCCGCCGCCACTCGCCGCCGCACCGGGGAAATTTCCGACTGCCGATCGAGGTAAATTTCATACCCCCGACTCGTTTTTCCCCACTGATTCCTCCTATGGCCAAATCGAAGCCGAAATCCCGGCCAAACGGCCGGAATACGCGGCCGAAGCCCAGCGGCGCCGCCGCGCCCCCTCTCGGTTTTTGCCTCCGACGAGGCCCTTCCCGGCCTCCGTTCGATGCAATTTTTATATCACCGTGATCACCATTCTTTTCTCTACAGGTTGACCGAAGCCAAATCACCAAAACACGAACTTCGCCGGAGAGTCGCCGTACCCGAGAGCGCCGCCGCCGGTAAGCTCCGTTTTTCCGTGATTTTTTGGCCCCCCGAGGGCCCTAGGGTTGTTTTCTAACAAGGACCAATGCGAGTGTGGCCGAATTCGGCCAAAAACGGCCGTAAACAGTCAACCCGAGGCGACTCGCCGCCGCCAGCGGCGGCGCCGTCGCCGGAGCACGGCGGAGCCGCCGTGCCGGAGTTGCGATTTGAGCCGAAAGAGGCCCTGGGCCTAATTTGGATTTTTTTTGGAACCCGTGCAGGTACTGTTAGCGTGTTTCAGTTCCCCGAGAAAAATTCAGGGGAAAATTAGGGACAGCCTGCAGGCGCACTGTGAATCGTATTCGGATCCCGAAAACAAGTAAGGACCCCTCACCCTATTTCCTATCACGGTATTAAAGTTCAAAATGATAAAACAGTATTTCTTGAATTAACGCATGTGTGAAATTGCTTAAGGTTGCTAATGGAGCCCGAGTCTAGTGTGATTGATGATTTACTGTTATTTGGCCTGTTTACAGCTTTAAATGCAGAATGAGGTTTGATGTGTTCATTTTACAGATTTGTGTGCATGTACTACGTTTTTATTAATTATGGGTTGAATGACTGAAAAACTGATACTGTATGTTGTCTGTTTGGTATGAATTACGATTTGCTTGTTTAAATGTGAATTGATGATGCTGATTGAGGAAAAGGAAAAATGAAAGATTGTGTAGACTGATAATTGTATTATGGGGGTCAGCCTGACTAGATATCCTGGGAGATGGTGGACGGACCGGGTCCGTAGGGAACCCTACCGGGATTGTGGTCTCACATGCCGGACGGGGTATGGAGATCTTATGGTTTTGGCGCCCATACCGGACGGGGTATGGGGACGGCCCGTTTCACCCTCATACCGGACGGGGTATTGAGGTTCATGGTTTTGGCGCCCATACCGGACGGGGTATGGGGACGGCCCGTTTCACCCTCATACCGGACGGGGTATTGAGGTTCATGGTTTTGGCGCCCATACCGGACGGGGTATGGGGACGGCCCGTTTCACCCTCATACCGGACGGGGTATTGAGGTTCATGGTTTTGGCGCCCATACCGGACGGGGTATGGGGACGGCCCTGGAAACTGATTATGAATGTTAAAGGTTAACGGGTAGCGGAACCCCTATGGACCCCCACGGATACTAGTAGGCTGGTAAATGAGAAAAAAAGATATGTTGTACAATGATTGAATTACAAGATACGTGATAAGTGTTATGTTTTACAGCTTAGATTATTCAATGATTATGATAATGTTATTGCTTTTCTCATATTGTTTTCATAAATTCCACCAATGTAAGTGGATGGTAAAAGTTTTATTATTGATAAAAGGTTTTGTTGTTAATAAACGAGTTTATTGTAAATTATGCTCCATTGGTCTTTTTGTGGTTTTTTACCCACCTTTATCTCCGTGACGGTGAGATATCGTGATGTTCTTACTGGGCTAG